GAGTAACTGTTGGAAGTTTTGTTCTGTTCCATGGGTGCTTGGCCCAGGGCAGCTGTCGCATGGGGAGAAGCAGGGAGGAGACGTTTTTGCTAGTGTGCAGTTGAAAACTGTACAGATTCATTGCTGTGAAGAAGGTACACTCAAGCTAACACTCCCTAGGGGCAGAAATCCCATGTATCCCCATATAGATACACCGTAAAGTTGCTACCCAGCTTTCTTTAAAGAAAGAAGTGTAACCTTCTTCTTCTTTTTTTTTTTTTATGATAGTCACAGAGAGAGAGAGAGAGAGAGAGAGAGAGAGAGAGAGAGAGAGGCAGAGACACAGGCAGAGGGAGAAGCAGGCTCCATGCACCGGGAGCCGGACGTGGGATTCGATCCCGGGTCTCCAGGATCTCGCCCTGGGCCAAAGGCAGGTGCTAAACCGCTGCGCCACCCAGGGATCCCGAAGTGTAACCTTCTGATTATGAAAATAATAGATTACTGTAAAATGATTCAGATAGCATAGGAATGAGTTAGACAGTGCACATTTGCAGCAATCCCACCCCCCTCAGAGATGTGTCAAAAGTTTGGTATAACATTCTTTTGGACACTCTCAATGTTATTGTATTTCCCTCAATTTTAGGGTTCGTATCTTAAATTTTCACATTCCTGGGATCTTATGCATCTTAAAATTGATATACAGTTACAACAGTGGTTGTTTTACTAATATATAATGCCCCACAGCTGTTGCAATGAATAAGGCAGCTCTGTAGGTAGTGACACAGTAGGAGTGCCAGACATTTTAGTTGAAAAAAAGAAAGCTGTAGAAGTGTATGTATGCTATACTATTATTTATATCTTTATTTTTTAAAGATGTATATTTATATGCTGATATATAAATTTTTCATTTCTAGAAGGAATCATAAAGAATAGGTAAAGACTGCCTCTAAGGAAGACAGCAGAAGGGTAGGAAGGGACCATTTTCATTGTATACCTCTTTCATCTAAGTTTATACTTTACTTAAATTAATTGAGTCATTAAAAAGCAAAGCAATACTACATATTACTATAAGGATTCATGAGCATGAGGTCAAAATATAGTCACGTACAGACAGGATACATACCAAATTCATTACAGAGTCTGCCCCTAAAAGGGAGGGAGGGAGAGGAATGGCCTGATAAAGGAAATATCATATGTAACTATGAAGTTTTAGTTCTCATAAAATTATTTTCAGCAAATATGATAATATGTTAACATCTGTTGGGACACCTGGGTGGCTCAGTGGTTGAGCGTCTGCTTTCACCTCGGGATGTGATCCCAGGGTCCTGGGATCGAGTTCCACATTGGGCTCCCTAGAAGCCTGCTTCTCCTCTGCCTGTGTCTCTGCCTCTTTCTGTGCCTCTCATGAATAAATAAAAGCCTTTTAAAAATTATGTATATGAATGTGATATTTATTCACTGTACTTCTTTTAATTTTTGTTCAAAGTACAAAAATTGAAATAAAAATACATGGATACTACCATAGAGCCATCAGAACTTCTAAAATTAAAAAGACAACACCACCAAACACAGGATAATGAGGAACTGGCATGCTAATACAATGTTACAACAACTGTAAAATGGTACAACCACTTAGGAAAATGGTCTGGCAGTTTCTTATAAAACTATATAAACATGTACCTCATGAGCCAGCAAACTACTCACAGTTATTAATCCAAGAGAAATGAATATATGTTCACAGAAAGACTTGTACAAGAATATTTATAGGAGCTTTATTCACAATAGTCAAAATCTGGAAAGAGCCCAGATGTCCATCAGTAAAAGACTAGATAAACAAACTAGTACATCCATACAATAAAATACCATTTAGCAATAAAAAAAAAAGAAGCAAACTACTAATACATGCAATAGCATGTTTATGGTGCTCTAAAACATATGCTGATGGGGATCCCTGGATGGCTCAGCAGTTAAGCATCTGCCTTTGGCCCAGGGCAGTCCTGGGATCAAGTCCCACATCAGGCTCCCTGCATGGAGCTTGCGTCTCTCTCTGCTTATGTCTCTACCTCTCTCTGTGTCTCTCATGAATAAATAAATAAAATCTTTTTAAAAAAATAAATAAATAATAAAACATATGCTGATGATAGAAACCTTACACAGAAGAGTGAATATTCTAGAAGTCTATTTATATGAGGACCTAGAATAAGCGAAATAAATCTATGGTGGAAAAAAATCAGAACAATGGTTGTCAGGGAAAGAAGGTTGTTGGAAGGGGTGGAAGTATTTAGGGGGAAGTATACTAATTAATCTCTGCAATTTACTTTGAAATGCATTAAGAAAAAGGTGGATTGATGGATAAATGAATCAATAGATGATAAAAACAAGTATAGTTAAATGTTAATGGTAGGATCTAGGTGTTCACCATAAAATTCTTTCAAATTATCGATATGCTTGAAGTTTTCATAATCAAATGTTAAAAATTACTTCTATTATTTAAAACACATTATATTTAACATGGATCTCTTTAACATATACTGGCCTACCTTATTCTTATTAATAAAGAGGATTTTATGGACATATTAAGTTTCTGGGACCATTATATAAGAGACCATACTTAAGTAAATACTGAAAGTACATCTTGATTTACAAACATGAGACCATATTACATATAAGACTGGCTTCCAGGAACGGCCTCCTCTATGCCCTAGTCTAACCCAGTTCACTTTACTCCCACAGAGAAGCACCATTCTGCCACACTATAAGGAGAATGAGTGGACATCTCAAAGAGTATGCAAACCATTGGCCACGTGCACACCGTCTCTTTCTTGTGCAGACCCTTTGTCCCCTATTCCCATGCCATCCTACCACCCATATTAGCTGGCCTGGCCAGCCCACAGATGGAGACAAATCTGTTCTCTAGTACAAACGCCCTGCCATTTGTTCTAGTGCTGTTAGGTGTTCACTGGATCAGCCAACCTAGAGGGATCATTACAGCCAAGCTGAAGTTTAAGTTGGGAAGACAGTCTGGGCAGCAAAAGGCATCAGGGTTCAGTATAGCTTACTGGGTTACTGCAATGGGATTATGAGCAAAACTCCAGTCAGAATTAAAGCTTTTCCTCACCTATTTGACTAACTCTACTATAGTACCTTGTGTCTCTGTGTGTATGTGGGTATCCACCATTCAGGGCATGAAAAGAAGGAATGGCAGCATTGTTGGAGGGAATGTCTCAGTCACAACACCCATTAACATCATCCTAACATCCGAAATCTTAAATAAACACCACTTCTCATCTTTTTTTCCCAATGAATCATATACTGGGTACATCTTTCCAAGTCAAAACATACACTTTCTAGTCACACTGACTTTAAGTAAGAGTTTATGAGCACCTTGGCCCCATGACTATTAAAGTATCTATACAGTAAAACCATGAACCTTAGGCTCTGTTAGCTTCCTTCACCAGAACACCTAGATGTTGGGGCCCCCGATCCAGGTAATAGGTCACATGAGAAGTTTTAGTATTTGTCACTATGTGACATTCCATATTTCCAGAATATGCACATTGTTACAACAGACCCAAAAGTGACCCTGCCCTTCAGTGTTTGTTATACAGGTTGTTAGAAAACAGAGCTTTGTCAGATTTTGGTCTTCCTAGTGAATTGAAGGATTACAGGGTTTGGATTATATAAATATTCTCCAGATGTCTGTTTATAATACAGAATAATGTATAAGAAAATGATGATGAAGGAAGAATTTTGGAATTGGTAAATTATTGAATTGCTACTTTTTTAAAGATTTTAAGTAATCTCTACACCCAATATGTGGCTTGAACTCACAACCCCAAGATCAAGTCACATGTTCCACCAACTGAGTCAGCCAGGCACCCCTTTAAATTGCTCTTTTTATCATTCTTACCTCATTTGAAGGAATTGTGGCAAAGGGTTTGATGACAGCAGCTAATGGAATCTGAGCTTGCTTGGCCATATCTGAAGTGCACGGGAAACAGTATGTTGTACAACGAATGTATCGAGGACTAGCATTGCCTGAAATGTTCAAAGAACACACTTAAAATTTGCTGAGAAAAAAATATCTGCCCTATAATATTTAAATATTTATAATTCTAGAGGATCCCTGGGTGGTGCAGCGGCTTAGCGCCTGCCTTTGGCCCAGGGCGTGATCCTGGAGACTCGGGATCGAATCCCACATCGGGCTCCCGGTGCATGGAGCCTGCTTCTCCTTCTGCCTATGTCTCTGCCTCTCTCTCTCTGTGTGACTATCATAAATAAATAAAAAAATTAAAAAAAAAAAAAACATAAATAATAAATAAATAAATAAATAAATAAATAAATATAAATATTTATAATTCTAGATAACACATTGCCTTATTTGTATAACTTTCTTCATGATTTCTAAAAAGACTAATATTATGCAATTCTATAATCTATGTTTATATTTATATTTATTGAATGTCTACTAAATGTTAGGCATTGTCCTAACTGCTTCCTTGTAGAGCTTATGTTCTTACAGAAGATACAGACAACAACTATCAAACCCAAAGAATGGGTAAATCACATAGGTCATTAGAAGATGATAAATGCTATGAAAAAAACTGTATCTTGTTAGGGGGTATCTTAATGGGAGACAGACTGCAACTTTAAACAGTTATAGAGTAGGCCTTTTTGAAAAGGTAACATTTGAGCAGACTCCCAGGAAGGAAGGCATATTCACCTAGGCAGGTGCCTGGGGTCAGGGCACATCTGGCCTGGTAGAGGAGTAACAGGAGGTTGTGTGGCTGGAATGGAGTACACACTGGGCACAGCAGCTGGTGAGGAGTTCAGAGAAGTAACAAAGGTTGTGCAGTAACCAGAGGAGAAATGGTGATGGCAGGGACCAGCCTGATTGCAATAGAGTTAATGACATGCGACCATATTCTGTACATATTTTGGAAATATACTGATTGTTGATGGGAGCGAGTATGAAGTGTGAAGATGGGAGGTGGGAAAGAAAGAGATCAAGAATGACTCCAAAGTTTTTGGCCTGAGGAACCAGAAGCATGAAGTTGCCACCAACTGATAAGAAAAAAACTGCAGGAAGGGAAGGGATGTGTTAATGGGTATGTGGGCAGAGATCAGGAATCTGGCTTCAGAGATGTCCACTTTGGGAATTGTAGCAAGCAATCTAACAGTAAAGCCGAGTAAACAACTCGATATGGGAGCCTGGTACTGATGAAGATACACATTTGGGAGTTTTCTATAAAGAACAAACCAAGGGGATCCCTGGGTGGCTCAGCAGTTTAGCACCTGCCTTCAGCCCAGGGCGCAATCCTGGAATCCCGGGATCGAGTCCATCATCAGGCTCCTGCATGGAGCCTGTTTCTCCCTCTGCCTGTGTCTCTGCCTCTCTCTCTCTATGTCTATCATGAATAAATAAATAAAATCTTTAAAAAAAAAAAAAAAAGGGATCCCTGGGTGGCGCAGCGGTTTGGCGCCTGCCTTTGGCCCAGGGCGCGATCCTGGAGACCCCGGATCGAGTCCCACGTCGGGCTCCCGGTGCATGGAGCCTGCTTCTCCCTCTGCCTGTGTCTCTGCCTCTCTCTCTCCCTCTCTCTGTGACTATCATAAATAAATAAAAATTAAAAAAATGTTTAAAAAAAAAAAAAAAAAAGAACAAACCAAAACCATGAAACTACTTTAAAACCTCTAAGGGAATAATTGTGGCTAGAGGATGACCAAGAACTAAGTCCTCAGTCCTCTAACATAAAGATGTCAGAGGAAAAGGAGAAATTAATTAAAGGACTGAAAAGGATAAAAACAAGGAGAATCTGGTGTCCCAGAGGTGAAGAAAGTACATTAAGGAAAAGCATGATCATCTGTGTCAGGTAGTAATGCTAGATCAGTAAGACCATTGGATTTACTTGCCATTTGCAATGACAAGGATGGAGCTAGAGAATATTATGCTAAGCAAAATAAGTCAATCAGTCAGACAAAGACAAATGCCATATGATTTAAGTCAAGTGTGAAATTTAACAAAACAAATGAGCAAAGGGGGGAAAAAGAGAGAGAGGCAAACCGAGAAACAGACTTTTAACTACAAAGAACAAACTAATGGTTACCAGAGGGGAGATGGGTGGGAGGGTGGGTTAAATAGGTGATGGGGATTAAGGAGGGCATGTGCTATAAGGAACACTTGGTGTTGTATGGAAGTGTTGAATCCACTTACACGAGGTACCTAGAATAGGCAAATTCACAGAAACAGAAAGCAGAATAGAGGATACAGGAACTGCAGGGAGAGGAGGAATAGGGAGTTATTGTTTAATGGCTACAGAGTTTCAGTGCAGGAGGATAAAAAAGTTCAGGAAACAAAAACTAACGATTTCATCAGCCTGTGTTTTAACTTGCCATGAACAATGGAATAATTACATATTCCTGGAAAGAGCAAACCTGTACAAGAACAGATAATATTAAACTAGCAGCACATATTGGATAGCTAGTAGAAACAGAGCTCGGCCTTTCATTATCTGAATTCAAAATTGGAAAAACAGGGCAGCCTGGGTGGCTCAGCGGTTTGGCACCACCTTCAGCCCAGGGCATGATCCTGGAGACCCGGAATCGAGTCCCACGTCAGGCTCCCTGCATGGAGCCTGCTTCTCCCTCTGCCTGTGTCTCTGCCTCTTGCTCTCTCTGTGTCTCTCATGAATAAATAAAATCTTAAAAAAAAAATTGGAAAAACAGAACCTACATCTTAAAGGACCTGCTGAAAAAAAAAATATCATTGGGGCTAGAACCAGGTGTGTGGATTTCTCATGTTCAATCCCCTACTGCTCTACTCATGCTATCTTGGCCAGGTTTCTAATGTAGTAAATAAATTAAACCAAAGTAGGGCAAGTACTAATTTAAGCCTATAAATTAAAATAATTTTCTTAAACTAGTATATTGAACTATATTTCATCAGACACTCTCTAGACTTCTACAAGCAAAAAAGAGAATTCAGTTGGCAATACATCTCTGTACTTGAATAATCGATGGTAAGTTGGTCCCCATTATCACCTATAAGGAGGTCCCCAGTCAATGTAGCCTTATGAAGGGTACACCAGTGTATTTCCTTTTAAAAAATGGTGAAAATTTTAAAACCGCAATGAAAAATATTAGTGAAAATAAATACCTTGATCTTGTATCACACAATCTGTAGTGACCAGGGGAGGGACCTGGCCTCTGGTATTGGTGGCATAAATCTGTCCTCCTCTTGTGGCTCTGTCATTCTCGATCACCTGAATCTGATATAAGATATCAAGAACAAGTTAAAGTAAGACCCTTCCAAACATTCCCCCTCTCCATTTCATTATACACACACACACACACACACAAATAGGCATTTTCTAAATCCTTTCCATTCATTTCAGATTAAATGCTCACTGAGAGCCTACCATGAGCCTACCATACCTTCAGTTCCACTTTTGAAACTTTCACAATTTTAGAGCAGCAGGTGCTAAATTCTGTTCTGTGATACTCTGAGCTCTGACCCTTCAAAGAACTTCATTTCTTTCATTTTGTTTATTGGCACCATAGATAAGCATAAAAAAAAATTCTGGTAGAAAATGAAATTGAAAATAGCTTTTAAAGAAAATACCTTTTGTAGTTAAAGGAAAATATGCAAAGCTAAAAATCATTAAATCCAGAAAAAATGATTTACAGTATCACCTAAAACACTTTAACTTTTCTCTTTAAATTTGTCTTTTCAGTTTGCCTTTCAAGTTCTTCCACCTCACCCCTGCTCCATGGAACAGTAAAAAAACAAATATAGTGTTTCCACTTGGAAGTTGCCTATTGTATGGAAATCAGAAGAAAAAAAGTCCCTAAGTTTTGTCATCTAATTTGGAAACACTTTGTATTTCTCTACTTAAATATTTATTGATAACATAGAGTTAAAAATTTGTCTTTCTGGGGATCCTTTGGTGGCTCAGCGGCTTAGCGCCTGCCTTTGGCCCAGGGCAGGATCCTGGAGTCCCAGTATTGAGTCCCATGTCAGGATCCCAGCATGGAGCCTGCTTCTCCCTCTGCCTGTGTCTCTGCCTCTCTCTCTCTCTCTCTCTCTCTCTCTCTCTCTCTCTCTCTCTCTCTATGTCTATCATGAATAAATAAATAAAATCTTTAAAAAAAATTTGCCTTTGTTGTATATGTCTAGGGATTAAAATAATAAGCAAAATTTAGTAGTATGGAGTTAACAAAACACAAAGGCATCCTAATAATTATCTTCCTCCTCTTCTTCTTGCCCTCACTTCTTTTGTCGTGGAATAAGAGATACAAGAGACATGGAATAAGAGACAAGGGGGTTAAAAAGAGAGAGAGAGAGAAATGAGACAAGTGCCCAGAATGCACTACATACCTTTGGAAGATACACAGTTTTTTAGATTCCAAAAGACACTATTAACATGAAAATTATCTTCCCCCAAACTCTGAAATGTTACCTTCTCCATTTTGCCCTCCCATCGCATCCAATGCAGCAGGCCTATCTGGCACTGATACTGGTTTTATAGTGTATCAGAGATAGATTTAACCTCCCTTCAAATCTATACATTTATGTTTTTTTAATTTCAAAAGATTTGAATTCTTATTAAAAATATAGCATACACACCAAACATAACTACTATAAGATATAGATGAGACCAAAAGCTACCATGGGCAGAGACAAGAAGCAAACAAAAATCAAAATACTATTACATCCTATATTTCAACCTTAAGGTTAATCTGATTTCTTCAAAATTGAAGAACTTTTTATATAATCAACATTTAAGGTAATCATTTCAGCCAATGAAGTGTCAAATATGAAACCAAATTAAAAGCCACAATAATCTACATATTGAATATAGTTTCTAATCTTAAAGTAGACTACATTTCTAAAAAAACTTATTTTTAATTAGTTGTTCACAACTTACAAAAAGCACAGCCTCCAAAGAAACAATGTCATATGTGGTAATTGTATTTCTAAACTAATTCACATCTTGGCTGGAATACTATCAGGGGAGTAAGAAATATTAAAACACTTCTAGTAATTTAAAAAAATATAGGTTTTTAAAATTTACCTTAAATGCATGTTCTTGAAAAAACAGACTTGGAAATTTAACAGTACACAGAAATTTCAATAGAGATTTTGACTATGATTCGTACTTATAGGATTTCGATTTGATGATGACAGTGACCCTTGATAATACCAAAGCTACCTCAAAACACATAGATTTCTTTTTCCTTCACAGGATCTGCCACTAGTGTTACTTTTTACTTATCTGCTATGAACAGAATATAATGCGATCATAAAATAAAATCAGGAAAGAAAAAAAAGAGTGTTTCTCTTGAGAGAACAAAAAGAATAAGGGAGAAAAAAGATAAGGAGATATGTGTACACCTAAGGCAGGTTGCTTAAAGAATTATCTGAGCTTGCTCAGGGTAGTGACAGAGAGGGGGATAGGAAGAGCTCCACTTCTGAATGGTCCTTCTACAGATACAGAAAGGCAGTGAGGAAGAGTTTCAATGGTGACACCAATTTTTTCACTCTCACAATGGAAATAATACCATCACCCTAAAGGTTTTGGAGTGATCACTTAGCTCAGAACTGGCATGTAACAAGAGTTCAGTAAACATGATTTTACATCTTTCTTCCCAGAAGGAAGAAATTATTTAGTCAGTTAAAGCATGTTGATAATAGGAATATAAATAGGCTCCATCTGGCATTGCTATTTAATTACTTTTATGATAAAAATAACACTAGACTGATCTGTATGTATGCATTTTAAGAGTCTTAGATGAATCACAGCAACACTGCTTATTGCTGTTGTTGTTAACCCCCATTCATTCATTCAACAAATACATGAATGTATACTACATACCAGGCTATATTCTAGCTGTTGGAAACACAGTATGAACAAAACCAAATTACTGACCTCTTGGAGCTGACATTATAGTACAGAAGACAGGCAACAAATAAGTGTATAAATATGATACATCTATGTCAAATAATAGTTAAGTACTGTGGACATGGGATATGTACAAGGGTATCAGGAAGACTGGGGATGAATGAGGATAGGAAGGAAACGAGGATATGAGCCATGCCTTGCATATATCTAAACAGAGGAAAAATCAAGTGCGAAGGTCTTGAAACAAAAGTACATGTAGCATGTTTAAGGAATAATAGGGAGCCTGGTGTGGCTGAAGTAAAAGGAGAAGAGGCATAAGAGACCGAATCAGAGGATCGTATGTGACTGATGTAAGGCATGGAGTGGAAAAGAATGCAGACTCCTACAGGTCATTATAAGAACTTTGGTTTTTAACTAGAGGAGTGTTGGAGGGTTTTGTTCTGAGTCACAGCATAGCATGATCTGACTTAAAATCTGAATGGATCATCCTGGCTGCTGTGTGAAGGCTGGAAGATCAGGGAGACAGTTAGGAGGCTCTCACAATAACCAAGGTGGATGGATGCTAGTGGCTTGAACCAGGATGAGGACCACGACCAATAAAATTAACTAAAGGACAATGTGCAAGAAAGCAATCAGTAAGGATGACTCCAGGGTTTGGGGCCTGAGGAACCAAAGAACAGGGTTGGAATCTAGATTTCAGGGAAATGTCTTACCTAGGAATATCTGCATCTTCATTTAAAGCCATGAGAATGGATGGGATCACCTATAGCACTGCCTTTTAGTGTGCCTACGAATCATCTGGAAAGCTTGTTAAAACATAGATTCCAAGGCTCCACCCCTAAAGACTCTGACTCAGTAGGTCTGAGGGGAAGCCTGCAAATATGAATTTCTAGTGAGTTCCCAGCTGATGCTGATTGTGCCATCCTGAGAGCAGCACACTTTGTGAAGTGTTGATCTACAGAGGAACTGTCAACAGAGAAAGGGACAGGTCCAAAGACCATCTTTGGGACACTTCTGACACCAGGAAGTCAGAGAGATGGTGAAACCAACAAAGGAAATAAGAGATAAGCAGAGATGTAAATGAGTGGTGGTATTTCAGAAACAAAACGAAAAAGTGTTTCAAGAAGTGAGCAGATATGCCAAATTGCTACTGATACGTTGAGGTAGATGAGATCTGAGCACTGACCACTAGATTTGGTAATAGGAGATCACTGGCAACCTTGACAAGCATAGTGTTGGTGGGGTTGCGGTAATGAGATCTAAACTGGGATAGGTTCAGGAGGGGAATGGAAGGGATGAACTGAAGACAGTGAGTACAAGTAACTCTTCTGGAGATTTTATTGCCATAAAAGAGCCAATAAATGAGGGGAAACTGGATAGAGAATTTGAAAAGGGCCACGGGAAATCTCTTTTATTAATGAGGAAAGGTATTACAGGATGTTTATAATCTGCTGAAAATGACCTAGACATTGAAACATTGAAGTTTATCTTCAAATGAGTATAGATGATGCAGGGGAGAGATGTGATGGCTAATTAAAATATGTCAACTTGGCTAGGCTGTGGTACCCAGTTTTTGGTCAAATACCAGTCTAGATGTTGCTGGGAAAGTATATTTTTAAAATATGTTTAACATTTAATCAGTAGACTCTGAGTAAAGTAAACTCTCCATAATGTGAGTGGAACTCATCCAATTATTTGAAGTCCTTAAGAAAAAAAGACTGAGGAATCCCAAAGTAGAGGGAATTCTCTGTCTAGAGGCCTTCACACTTGAGCTGCAAAACCGACTTTTTCTGGCTTACCCTGCAGATTTCAAATCTGCCACTCCCCAGAGCTGAGTGAGTGAATTCCTTAAGATAACTCTCGATGATTGATGGATTGATTGATTGATAAAGATATATACACATATATCCTGTTGGTTCTGGGTTTTTTTGAAGAATTCAAATACTCTAATACAGGGGACATTTGCTGAAGGGTTATCCTCAAGAGGCATAAGGGAATCTAGGAGGTGACAGCCCTGGTTGGGAGTATGAAGAAGCTAACCCATGGTAAGAAGAAAAGAGAAATGAAAGGACACATATGCAGGGAGATGTGGCAGTGCAGAATGCAGAGGTTCTCTTTGGATTGTTTCTATTCTCTTGGTGAAGTAGAAAGCACAGTTACCATTAAAGAGTCAGAAAGGGGAAGGCAGTGTTAGGAGTTTGGAAAGTGAAGAAATGATAGTCCCTAAGAAAATGAGAGAGACAGTGGAGTTGGGTGATGGCCTTCAGACCTGCTACACATTAGAATCAGTAGGGAAGCTTTGAAAAATCCCAATGTCCAGTTCATATCCCAGTCTAATTAAATAAAATTGGCAGGTGGGAACAAGACATCAGTATTTCTATAGCTCCGCCACTGGTTCTTTTGTGCACACAGGTTTTAGGACCACAGAACTATAAGTTCACCTTAGTTTAATAGTCATGAATCAAAAGTGAGATCAGTAAGCATGGTGTGATTTTTCTCAAGTCACAGGTGGCCTCCGGGATGCAGGCAAAGAGTAGGTGGAGAGTTGGTTTAACAACAAATGGGATTTTCCTAGTGAATTCAGTGAAGAAAGTGAGGCAAAGGAGTTGAGAGTAAAGGATGTAAGGGATAGATTTTTTATCATAGATCAAATAATCTAAGCTGCATAAGAGAAGTGAGAAGATGAAGGCAATGCAAGAGAAAAAGTGGTAAGTTATAAGTCCTGGTGAGTGAATCATTATTGGAGTTTGAGTCCTAAAGGAATGAGCTAAAAAGATAAAAGGCAGTGATTGGAAAACAGATGTTTTCAATTGAGATTCTGAAGTGTCCTGTAATTGGTAATGACAGGATTTATGATAAGACGATGGATAACAGGTAGCGTGGATGAACCAGTGGGAGCAAAGAAGATCAAGAACTGAAAGGCCTGAGAAATAAAAGTTTCTAAAGATGGATAGTAAAATTTCCAATAATTGTGACAAAAACAGTACTGGAGAGACTAACAATGAACCTGGAGCTAGAAACATCAGAGAATGAAGTGGAATGACCCAGAGGATCTGTAGATGTTATACAGAAGCAAAAAAAACAAGAAGTTAAAATGATGAATTCAGTGTAAATATATGATATTCCTTTAACTAGAATAATGAAATAATATTAAGCCATTAAAGCCATGGCTGATAATATAATTATCAATAAAGGCACTAAGAGTTACAAAAACTTAATTTCTAACATGTTACATAGGGCTTGACACTTTATTATACATTTTCAAGTTCATATTCAAATAAATATAGAATAAGTGGATAAATCACAAAAATAGACAAAATCCTCTACCCACTCTGCGCCTTTTTCAAGGACTTCACAGCTCCTCCCATCAAGAGCCAGTCTTTTTACTCCTTGACTCTCGGAAGACGTTGTGACTGGCTTTGGCTGAGACAATGTCACAGAAGTGGCAATGTTTTAGTTCCAAGCCATGGCTCAAGAGGCCTTGCAGATTCCTAGTTTCCCTCTTAGATGATGTCTGCCACAGTCAAGTGAACAAATCCAGGCTAGCCTGCTCAGTCACATGGCCCAATGATTCCCAGCTAAAAGACAGGTACCAAATACCAGACACATGAATGACACCATCTGTAGTGGGCTTAGTGCTACCCCCCACCAAAAATATATCCATGTTCTAATCTTACACAGTAAGACTATTGATGAAGTCTTTTTTTTTTTAAAGATTTTATTTATATATTCATGAGAGACACACAGAGAGAGGCAGAAACATAGGCATAAAAAGAAGCAGGCTCCCTACAGGGAGCCCAATATGGGACTTGATCCCAAGACCCTAGGATCACGACCCGAGCCAAAGGCAGACACTCAACCACTGAGCTACCCAGGTGCCCTGATTAAATTAAGTCTTGAAAGGCATTCATTGGATTATCTGGATGGGCTCTCAATGGAATCAAGTGTAACCTCTCGTAATAGAGAGGCAGAAGGAGTTTTGAGATGGGTGCCCAGAGGAAAAGACACAGAAGAGAAAGAGGCAATGTGATGGCACAGGCATAGTCATTCAGCCACAAGCCAAGGGGTACCTGAAGCCATCAGAAGCTAGAGGAGAAAAGGAATGGATTCCCCTATAAAGCCTTTCAAGGGAGCATACCCCTACAACACATTGATTTCAGACTTCTGGCCTCCAAAAACATAAAAGAATAAATTATTGTTTTAAGTCACCCAGGTTGTGATTATTTGGCACAGCAGCCACAGAGAATTAACATACCATCCTAGACCATTCATGCTCCAGCCAAACCTCCAGCTTACCCCAGATGTACAAGTAAACCCAAACCAAATCCACTGAGCCTGGCCCAGAGTAGCAGAACTGCCCAGAGGACCCACTGACTCATGAGGATTAATAAGTAGTGGCTGTAAATTACTAAATTAGGTGGTGGTTTGTTATACAGCAAAAGTTAGCTAATACAGTAAGTAGCTCTTTGAGCTATGTCTAACTTTCTCTACTCATGTTTATAGAACCACTTCCAAGACCTAGGTTAACTGTATCAATTCCATTATTATTCTAAAAGGACTATGTATCTCTGCTCATTGCTACAGATTTGCAGTTTGTCCTGAAGCAGGAGTATATATATCCCTGCCAGACTAACCCAGGCCTTTGTTATGACTTGGTTTGGTTGAGGACATGTGAGTGGTTGTGACATGTACAACATCTGAGTGAAAACTTTAAGGGCTATTGTACCTTCTGGCCAGTTCTCTTTTCTCCCTTTCTCTTGATAATAACATGTCCCAAATACAGAATGCCTCTGCACACTGGCTTTTGGAATGATAAGGGCACACAGAACCACACCTAAGGTCAAACTTCAGCTACTACAGCCTACATGTAATCTAAGTGATAAATAAATCTTCATGGTTGTAAGCAAATTGGGGACTGTGTGTTATGCAGAATGACCTAATAAAAGCTGACTGATACAGTTACTAAAGAATAATCTTCCAAAGAAAATCACTTTATTAGAGAAGAATTAAGTTAGAGCTCTATTTTATATAAAATAATTTTTAATAGGCAAAATATAAAATACTTTGTGCTTTCCTTTCTGTGGGTATCTTACCCTTATTGAGAAGTATCCTTTTCTTATCTAAACTAGCATGTTTATATACTCAGGTTATTACTTACTCATTAAACAATCAATAAATACTGCTAATACATGCCAATATAAACATCAATAGCACTGCCAAGTTTATGTGACACCAAAAAACATCTACATAGGCTTTCTGTCATGGAGACCCCTAAAATGCCATAACCTAGCCTTCCAACCCCACACATGGAAAGAAGGAAGCTTCTGTGTGATGGGTATTGTGCTTCAACAATAAAGGACAGGAAAAATGCTAATAAACTGAAGAGTTTCTGAAACAGTGAATGAAGAATGGTCCTTTGTGATGGAGATGATCGGAGTGAGAGAGAACACTTACTGGGCTGGGGATGGAGTCAGGATCCAGCTTCTTCTGGAGTTGTGGTGGACCAGCCATCTGTGCAGGACCTCCAGGGAAGCCTCCTGGGTAGGCGAGCTGCCCGCCTGCCATCTGCAGACCATAGTTGGCTGCTTGGAAAAAAATTTTAAAAAGAAATGAGTAGAACACGAAGTCCACATATAAGACTCACTAACAATATTATGCTATTCAATCAAGTAGGCTGCATTTTTTCATCTTATTATATAAGGCAGAGAGTTAAGGTGAGTATCTAGGATTCCCTTTTCTCTGTACTTGCCACACTATTTTAAAAGTAGCTTTCCTTAAGAGTTAGTAATAGATGCCTAGTAACATAGAACAAAGCTGATTTCCTAGATAACCCTAGGCCTTTCTGCTGAGCCTGCTTGCCTTACCCTGCTGCGGCGAATATCCAGGGCCCAGGGTCTGTCCTGGAAGAGGCGGGGGCTGGTACTGAGGCCCAGGAAGCCCATCCTGCCTGTGTGTAGATGGAGGCAAGGGCAAGGCACCAGGGCCATTTAGTGCGGTAGGTGGTGGTGGGAGAACCTGAGATCCAGGCTGCATAATGGATGGCTGCGGAGGTCGTGAAGGACCCTGGAATGAAGGTGCTGATGGAGGGCCAGGGGGCCCCTGGACAGGGGGAGCCATGCCTGAACCTGTGCAAGAAAGAAGACCAGACCACTAAACATTGCACTTTTCTTTTTTTTTTTTAATTTTATTTTTATTATTATTTTTTTTATTTATGATAGTCACACACAGAGAGAGAGAGGCAGAGACACAGGCAGAGGGAGAAGCAGGCTCCATGCACTGGGAGCCCGACATGGGACTCGATCCCGGGTCTCCAGGATCGCGCCTTGGGCTAAAGGCAGGCGCCAAACTGCTGCGCCACCCAGGGATCCCAAACATTGCACTTCTCAACTCTAAATTCTACGAAGTACACACAGGGACACTACTTTTCCTGATATAAAATAAGAAGTCATCCTTATAAATCAATTTTTCTTTTTTTGCCTCAAGATAAATCTTCATTCAGAAAGTTATACAATTGCTATTTGGGGCATTTTATAAAATGGGAGAATTTTTAATAGGTAAAAGCAATATTTATAATTTTGGTAAGGAAATTAATAGGATAGGGGCAGCCCCGGTGACGCAGCGGTTTAGCGCCGCCTCAGCCCAGGGTATGATCCTGGAGACTGGGGATCGAGTCCCACATGGGGCTCCTTGCATGGAGCCTGCTTCTCCCTCTGCCTGTGTCTCTGCCTCTCTCTCTCTCTCTGTTTCTCATGAATAAATAAATAAATAAAAATCTTTTAAAAATAATAAATATTTTTAAAAAAGAAAATTAACAGGATAAAGTTTAAGTCAGTTGCATTAACTTTACATGACACATGTCACTAGTTAAGAAATTGTATCTGGGGATCCCTGGGTGGCGCAGCGGTTTGGCGCCTGCCTTTGGCCCCGGGCGCGATCCTGGAGACCCGGGATCGAATCCCACATTGGGCTCCCAGTGCATGGAGCCTGCTTCCCCCTCAGCCTGTGTCTCTGCCTCTCTCTCTCTCTCTCTGTGTGACTATCATAAATAAATAAATAATTAAAAAAAAAAAAAAAAAGAAATTGTATCTGGTACAAAATCTAGAAAATGATATAGAGGACTATTTTACCATGTAACAAGCATTATTCAGGTAACTTAAATATTCAAAAAATTATTTTGTGGCCTGTGCTTAACTTGATCAAATAGTTCTTGGAACTTGATAGAAATAACAAGGGAAAAAAGATGGGCCACTAACATGTTTGTTTGTTTAAGATTTTAATTATTTATTCATGAGTGACAGAGAGAGAGAGAGAGAGAGAGAGAGAGAGAGAGGCAGAGACACAGACAGAGGGAGAAGCAGGCTCCATGCAGGGAGCCTGATGTGGGACTCGATCCCCGGTCTCCAGGATCACACCCTGGGCTTCAGGCGGCGCTAAACCGCTGAGCCACCCGGGCTGCCCCACTAACATGCTTTTTCATCATTTTGGAAATAGTTGTAAACCAGATTATTCTATCTCTGATTATATGATATTTAGTTACTTCATTGGAGACCTACCCATCTTGAAATTAGTAAAAGACAGGAAATAGTCAGAGGGTTCTTTTTTTTAACAGATACTTCTAAAAAACTACTTAAAGTAACGGAAACATTCTTTATATAGATAAATGGCTAACTATGCTGTTATTACAATGAAGATTCCTATGGTCCTCAGAATATACAGCATTTCCATTGATATGAATCTCAGTACTGTAACTGTTTTCTCTCCTATTATTCTCTTTTCTGCCTCACAACATCTGAGCTTCCATTCTTTTCATGACCTAAATACAGAATCAAAGAACACTGTGAAACAATGAGTACTATATTTTTTATTTTAAGGCCTCATTATAAACAACACAAAGTTAAAACCAGTCTCACATTTCTTAAAATAATTTCACTGTTGTAATACTTATTTGGGAGGTCAGAATTTTTTGGTTTTTTACTGTTCTAATATTCAATGTAAGGTATGCTCAAGGTCTTTCAATTATTTTGAAATAAATGGCAGCATAATCAGGAAAAAAATTAATTATTGTCATAAGGAATACAGATGATTTATATAAAAATATCTAAAAAACTACTTCAAAAAAAATAAAAATAAAAAACTACTTCAATATGGTATGCCAGAGTTTTGCCTATTTTTTTGAGTTATGTTTACTTTAAAAATGGAGAAAACAAAAAAAAAAAAAAAGAAAAGAAAAGAAAAAGAAAAAGAAAAAGGAGAAAACGTTCTTCATTAAAAATACTCATAAAGGGGTGCCTGGGTGGCTCAGTTGGTTAAGCACCGGTCTTCAGCTCAGGTCTTGATCCCAGGGTGGGATGGAGCCCCACATCAGGCTCCCTGCTCAGTCAACAGTCTGCTTCTCCCTCTCCTTCTGCCTCTCCATCCTGCTTGTACTGTCGCACACTCTCTTTCTCTCTCTCTCAAATAAATAAATCTTTAAAAACTACTCATGAAATATGTGGTTAATGAGCACTAATAATGAAACTGTTACCATAGCTGCTGATGTGCATAGCATTGAACTGATTGCCCAGTTGGGTGACAGATGAAGTGGACGCAGGACTTGGATAAGATGATTGTGCAGAAGGTGAGTAGGGTGCGTAGGAGGGTGCTGCACTGTTGACAGGTGCCGCACTGTTGACAGGTGGAGGACCTGTAAATCTAAGAGAGAAAAAAGGGTGTTAAACAATATCATAGTTTCAAATGCAAATGATATATGATAAATGTCAATAACCTACTAAATTATGTAAGCCCACCTAGTGGGCCCTAAAGAAATGATGATCCTAAGTATTTAATCTTAATGTGAGCTCAAAATGAATCATGCAGCATCATCTTATATCTAGGCTCACAACCTCAACATGTCAAGATACTTAGCAAAAATATCCTAACGTAAACACAGAACTAGCTTTGGAAATCAAGTTGGGAAGCTGAGTCCACCAGAGCCATATCTATACCAGGGTTAATGATTAATAGAACAGGACTAAAAAAAAAAAAAAAGGTTTTGTAGTTGTATCTTATTATCTTTATTCTCCTTAAATCCTACTCAGCATTTAAAGTAAAATGTCACCTGCACTATAATTTCAGTGCCGTACAAAACAGTACTTGAAAGTGAACTCAGTAAAAAGTTTTGAAAGTGTTCATTCTTTTTCATCTAAAAATTTCATCATGCTTTACCTTTAATTTAGCTTGAATTTATTGTATATTTATTTTTCCTTATTTTGAATGAAACAGTAGCCACCATAGAATAAAGAGTGTTCCTATTGTAGTTAATCTGCTGAATAAAGTTAAAGTTTTCCCTTTAAGTTACATTATGACTTAGTAATTTTTAGGGTTAAATAAAAATGAAATTTTCCAAAAAAAAAATGAGATTTTCCCAGATTTATACTCTGAATTCAATTTCTACATAAACTGGAAACTGTGTCCGTAGTGACCCATGCTCTTGCCTTCCATCTTTCACTGCCACTTGAGAGGCCAGGAGAAGAGCCTGAGCAAGGTCAGTGGCTTGCTTGAAGTCCCACAACTTATGAATGACAAAATTATGACTAGCCTCTTCCTGGTCTTAAGCAAGTATACTTTCCAAAATATCACACAAATTTTCTTGTGTCATTTTTCTTCATGTATCTTAAATTGAATAATTACTGTAAACAACATTTAAAATTAACTTTCAAAAATAAATAAATAAAATAAATAAATAAATAATAAAAATAAAATAAAAATTAACTTTCAAACCATTATGCTGTATTGTATTAAGCATATTTCTGAATGATGATATCCCGCATTTTGAGTTAAATGAACAAATGCTTGTACTATGCAAAAGTACACAAGCTATCCTATAGCAGATACTTGGTTATAAGGGTTATAAAGTTAGTATGAATAAATTTTAACCCAAACAATATTGCTTATTAGCAAAATGATTTCCTCTCCTGTCAAAAACTGAAACAAGACCAACACAGTCACATGAAACATCTTTTTTTTTTTTTTAAGATTTATTTATTTATTTATTCAGAGAGAGCGAAAGAGAGGCAGAAACACAGGCAGAGAGAGAAGCAGGCTCCATGCAGGGGAGCCCGACGTGGGACTCGATCCTGGGTCTCCAAGATCATACCCGGGCTGCAGGCGGCGCTAAACCGCTGCATCACCAGAGCTGCCCACAAAACATCTTTTAATTTAAATAATTTTTGGGGATCCCTGGGTGGCGCAGCGGTTTGGCGCCGCCTTTGGCCCAGGGCACGATCCTGGAGACCCGGGATCGAATCCCACGTCGGGCTCCCGGTGCATGGAGCCTGCTTCTCCCTCTGCCTGTGTCTCTGCCTCTCTCTCTCTCTGTGACTATCATAAATAAAAAAAAAAAAAATTAAATAATTTTTGGAACAAAATTGAATACAGAGAGAAAATATAAAAATTAACTTTTCTTTTTTTTTTAAATTAACTTTTCACAGAAGTTTTCTTTATATCTCTAATTTATTAATGACACTAGGAATAAGAAAGGCAAAGCAAAATATAATTCTAGTCTTAACTGACATATTTAAAATATTGTTGGTCACTTAGAAATGATTTCAAGAATTGTATTAATGATATGTTTTGTAAATTCATTGTTTCATAAAAACATCATTTCTTTTTTTTTCAAGAAATGATACTTCTGCCTTATTTTAAAATGTCACAATAAATAAAGGTAAAAATTGCATACAGGCAGAATGTACATACATGCTCTATAAGAATATATTAGTGGATGCAGCATAACATATTGTTACAGGGTTTGGATCTAATAAGTAGGAACTGGGAACCAGCAGTTACATTGGGGGAGGGGGAATTATTCAATTGTTTAAGAGAAAAATTCTCTAAAACATGTTCACAGATATTTCACAAGTGTTAATATTTTTTAAATATAAAATTGTAGGAGTAATTTATTACATAGATAGTATATATAGGATGAAGTGTTTCAAATGGAAGTTATGACATAAGCAGCCTCCAGTATTTTTTTAACTTAAGAAAAGGTTAATATTTAAAATACATTAACAGAATATACAACCATTAGGTCGTTACTTTTAAATCCATAAATGCCTACTTATCCTTCATTGCTTAATATAAGTCCTGGGAATTATGCTTTAGAAATTCACAATTACATTTTTTTCCTAGCCAACTTAAATATTGTAAATCTTAAACAAATTTGAATTTTAAAAGCAATTTTATTAACAAGAATAAAGTAGTAATAAAGGGCTAACAAAAACTTTCATATAGATAAGGGAAAAGAGATTAACAGAACATTTTAAACATGCAAAGTGATTTAATATTTTTCAATTTCATTACTTCACTAAATTAGTTAATTCAAGGTCCAGAGCATGTAGGGATCAGAGTTTAGGTCTCTCAACGTGGAGATCCTGGTGTGTAATTATGGGCAAGCCACTTAATCTCTGTAGTTCTCAGCTTTCAAATGAAAAAAAATGAGCAGACAGAATGGAATGATCCTTTTCTAAGCAATAAATATAATGTGGTTAAAATTAAGAATCATATAATTTGAATATTTCTCATGTTGATTCTTTCACTTAACATGTTTCTGGGTACAGAAAACATTCAATTCTATATATTTTTTTTTTAAGATTTTATTTATTCTCATTCATGAGAGACACACAGAGAGAAAGGCAGAGACACAGGCAGAGGGAGAAGCAGGCTCCACGCAGGGAGCCCAAAGTGAGACTGGGTCTTGGGTCTCCAGGATCATGCCCCAGGCTGAAGGTGGCGCTAAACCGCTCAGTCACCCGGGCTGCCCAATTCTATATTTTAATTTACTGTTTTCTTGAATGTCAGAAAAGGGCAGAACCACCATAAAAAACAACAAAGAATTACTATCAGAGGATTAATAAAACATGAAAGTTTATTCTCAGTTTAGTCCAAAACCTCTGGAGAGTTGACTCAGTTGTCTGTGGCGTGCTCAACCTCACATATTTCTTATTTTTAAGTTTGTAACAAATTGCTCAAGTAACGAGCTGTATGCTGAAGTTTGTTAGGATGTGGAGAGATGGTACCAAATTTGTCAAGATTGGACTGAAGTAAAATCCAGGTTTCAAATACTCAGTCCATAGAACATAGAAAATAAAACCCATGCCAAATATCACTGCTTTCCACCAAGAAAGAAGAAGAACAACAACAAATTAAGAGAAAACAACTATTTCTCTTATTTTTCTTGCTCCCTCCTTTTCATTGCAACCAAATTCTTAGTCAGCAGATTTCACCCCATCGGCTTCAATTTGGGAAGATGAGTCTCCTCTTCCCATCCTCTTCCACCTCAATTCATCATTTCTTGATCAAAACAGGTAACTTACATAACTTGTAGAGTTTATTTCTTAGATTAATCCTGCCCAGCAATAACACTGTGTACATAACTTTAGTACTATTTACAAGTTTAAGACATTTATTCTGCCTCGGCCAAGATCAAAAAGACAAATGAATAGGTATGATTTTTTTTTAATTTTTATTTATTTATGATAGTCACACAGAGAGAGAGAGAGGCAGAGACACAGGCAGAGGGAGAAGCAGGCTCCAAGCACCGGGAGCCCAACGTGGGATTTGATCCCGGGTCTCCAGGATGGCGCCCTGGGCCAAAGGCAGGCGCCAAACCGCTGTGCCACCCAGGGATCCCCAATAGGTATGATTTTTAAATTTTATGAAACATTGCCTGTGAAGGAGCAATACTTAAAAATAAAAATGACAAATGTTTAAATTTTCATCAACATAATGACTCCAAGTTATATCTTGTTTTCATTCAACAGTTTAGATATTATAAAAATTAAGAGATTTTTTGAAGGATTCTGTAAGTTTAAACAGCACGGATGAAATGCTATGAAGTGCTATAATCATCAAAGAAATGTCACAAGCCATCTATGCTCTCTGACAATCCCCGTCATCAGACTGTGTGATTCACCAGTACAATCACTGGGCCCTTTGCCCTTGCATTGAACTATGTACACAGAAATATGCCCATGAGGTCAAAGTAGTGTGGTAACCATGGACGTTGAGCATGAATACTAGACTTTTCCCTGACTTTTTCATTTTTAAATCCATTTCCAACCTCTAATTCACAGTTTAAGTTGAAGCAAGTGAATAGTGAAGGAGATGGGGCAAAATCTGTCAGGGTTTCCCTGGGAATCATAATAAAAGCAGCTTTCTAGGTTGAGCTGTCATGAGTAGCTAGAGACTGAACCAGTAGGAAGGACAAGCTACAGACAGCAGACCTTCTACAAGTACTGAAAATGATATTGATAACTGCTAACATGTATTGAGTCTTTCATGGGCATTATGCACTATGCAAGATTCTGTGCATGCACTAACCATCAAAATCCTTACAACCACATTATTATTGTTAAAATTGGGATGAGGGAACTAAATAATATAGAAGTCAAGTACAGCTGCCTGAGCCTAAAGTAGATGGCTGTACACAGTGGACTCTTCACTGTGCCAGACTTTGTACTGAGCTCACAGCCACACAGCAAAGGTCTGATGGTAAAGTCCATGGTTTACTTATTTCTAAGGAACCTAATTTAAGTGAAACAAATGGAAAGAACCAAAAAGATCAATACAATCTAGGCTAATACCAATAACCAAAAGCTTTCTTAACTTCAAACCAGCTATTTAATTTTTGCATTTCTTCTTTTAAAACAAATTCTAAAATGCATGGCAGTTCACAACAATAAACTTTTCCAGATCTTCTCCCCTGTGCTGTGGACTGAGAGTTCTATTTCCTCATTTTACAAGTGAGCAAAATGAAGAGGCCTAGAGGCCCAGGAACTTCACCAGCACCACATAACTAGTTAATTTTTTAGCCAGAAGACACATCTTGGTTCTTAGTCTTTCTACTCTAAAACTTATGCCCCACCACCATGCTAATGAGACTCGGTAGGATAGTAGGGTCAGATCCCAAATCAGGCCCTTTTGACTTTATGTCCTTGTTCAAACCACATTACTTAGATTCACTCATCCTCTGTTTCCTACATTAATCTTCACTCTGTATTCACAGCAACTATTATAATGATAAATGTTATCATGACAAACAAGACCTGGGAAGAGTCAATTTCACAAACGTCCTGTAAGAGCATTAATTTGATGATATTTAAAAGTCCAGAGAGGGGATCCCTGAGTGGCGCAGCGGTTTGGCGCCTGCCTGTGGCCCAGGGCGCGATCCTGGAGACCCGGGATCGAATCCCACATCGGGCTCCCGGTGCATGGAGCCTGCTTCTCCCTCTGCCTGTGTCTCTGCCTCTCTCTCTCTCTCTCTCTCTCTCTCTCTCTCTGTGTGACTATCATAAATAAATAAAAATTTTAAAAAAAAATTTAAAAAAAAAAAAAAAGTCCAGAGAGTTTTCCCACTAACAGTGACTACTCACAGGCCCCTTGAAAGGATAACTGAGTGGCTTCAGCAGCAGCAGGGTCCAGATTCACAGTGAACCCTACATCTTAATAACCTAAAAAAGGAACCCAGGAAGTGAAGTGTCCAGGTAATCACTGGAGAAATTCCAAAGTGTTTACTACAAACACTACAAACAGCTTTGGCACTGGAATTCTCAACAGCAACAGCTCACTGGACAAACGGTAATGGGACTTGCAGCAGAGAAGGTGTGATGCTGACTCCCTTCCCAGGGGATAGTCCCCAGTAGGGTACAGAGTCTATACATCTCATACCTTGGCTTCTTCAGACCTGCCTTCCACTTTTCCCTTCTTTAATATATTATAAACACGAACAGAGGATTTATTTCCTATGTTCTTTTTTCTATCGACCTACCATTCAAAAATCCCTCATTGGCATCTGTGTACCTTCCACATCAAATCCAGTTTTACCATTGGCTACAATCTGATTTAATTTTTAAAATATTTATTAAGCACCAACTGAGCTCAGTTCTGTGAAGGATTCAAGAGGATAGATGATTTAAAATTTATTAGGGCATACAGGTCACAGATATCTGAAGGAATCAGAAATTAATACAGAACTCTAAAACAAGATGAATATAATCCAAAATTAAAATATGTGGTATTGACACAAGTAATTTTTAATATACTTTTAAATATGTACTAGTATTGTTTCTTTTCCCACCTAATTTTTCCAAATGCTTTGTTTCCTAGGACAGTCTAGCAACTCCTTTCAAGGGTGTGGGCAGTATCAAGAGGTCAAACTTTCAATCAATAAATATGCAGGTCTAGAAGGCACTTGTGAGACAATTTTAGTAGAATATACAAATTCGGGTTGGAATCTACTTAGCTTACCTTTGAGGAGGATGCCCTTGGGCATGAGCTCCACTCTGGCCAAATTGATGGGGTCCAGGAGGTGAAGGGCCCTGAGGCAACATCCCCCCAGGGGCAGCAGTCCCCAAAGGCCCTGCTGGCTTCATCATACCTGCAACAGAAGGGCATGAATTTAGAAAAGTATGAATGTGCAAGGGGAGAAGATGCCATACCATTCAATTAAAAAACAAAAACTAGGAGTAGAAAGAGGGGAAAAAGTGGGTTAAGACAAGTTCTCCTTTAAACTTGCATTAACCATCACAGACCTATCAATGTCAGGCTCTGGTATAGTTATTTACCATCATAATGACAGGAAAACAGAAAAGGAAACAATCATTTCAATAATAAAGAGAAACCAAAACAGAAGAAATAAACTTGCATTTAGTAGAAGCACTTTGATAGAATATACTATCACACAAAAAATGCTAGAATAACAATGAAAAATGTCATTATGGATATCAAAAAAACTCGGGGAAAAAAACACTATGTGGCATCATAAAAATCCTAACTGTAACTAAGAAAAAAAAAAAAGACCTCTGAAAATACCTTTGAGTTACAGCATGAGGAAAACAAATGGAAATTAGCATCTGTTTTTCCAACAAATGCAAAGCAAGCCTTCAGAGATAATTCTTCCAGCACTCCAAACAGTTGGGTGATAAACAATTGAGGGACTCCTTAAGTCATCATACTCACTCATAAAATGTGGGATCACATGATTGGTAGATGCTCCTGTTTTCATTTCATAAGTAACTGTTTTCATTTACAAGAAGTTGCTTCTCAAAAAGATTTTTAAAGGTCTCTCTTTAGAACTATTTGTAGACATTTTTCTCTTCTAGAGAAATTGTGGTACAGGAGAAAAATCACTGAACATGGGTCAGAGGAGTTCAAGGCCCCACCTGGCCATTTACTAGCAGACAGATGTATGGTATTGGGCCAGAAGTTTATCTTTAAATACCTCAGTTCCCTCCCCCTCACTGCAAAAGGAAAGTCTTGGACTAGATTACACCTTCTAGCCTTTTAAAAGAAAAAAAAACAAAACATGTCTTCTATTTGCTCTCTCCACTTCCAATCTGCTTGTTTTGTGCCAGCTCACTCAACCCACTTTTGACCCTTACCCTCCTTTCTAGCACCATCATCAATGACCTCCTAGATGCTTTCTGTGCACTTCTCCACTTGACCTCAAGATGATGTCATACCCAACATTTCCTTTCTTCTTTTATCTTCCCCTAGAGAGTTTATTCTCTCAGGTAACAAGAGAATTGACTGGATGGCCTTGCAGTTGCCAAAAAAAAAAAAAAGTTTCTTAAATTATCATCATAATACTTTTGAGAGCATGCTTTCAGATGCTTGGGTAATATAAAATGTAATATAACCAGGGAAATGGCTATACTCATGAATAATATTACTGAAACTTTCACAAAAGTTTTTCTTAAAACAGGATTCCTCAAAATTAAGAAAAATTTTATATTACCTTTAAAGCCACAGTCTTTATTTTATTTTTTTTATTTATTTATGATAGTCACACACAGAGAGAGAGAGAGGCAGAGACATAGGCAGAGGGAGAAGCAGGCTCCATACACCGGGAGCCCGATGTGGGATTCGATCCCGGGTCTCCAGGATCGCGCCCTGGGCCAAAGGCAGGCGCCCAACCGCTGTGCCACCCAGGGATCCCTAAAGCCACAGTCTTATTTAGCAATTTTTCATATAAGAAAAACAACAAATATTTTTCTTATAACAATACATTTTTATATGAAGTTCTTAACTCCAAAGCCAGCAAAGTTAGAAAAACATGAGACTTGGAGTCACACAGATTTGGGTTTAAATTCCTTCCCCACCATTTAACTGTTGTGATAGTTATCTGACAAGACACTTCCATCTTTTGAAACCTCAACTTTTAAAACTGTGTCATAGCAGTAATGTTCCCTATCTCTGAGATCTGTTCTGAGAATTGAATAAGGCAATAAGTATGGGAGCATCCAATCAACAAATCTTGGTTTTTCTCTTCTCTGACCATATCCCGTCCTCCTGTTTTCAAGGATTATTTATATTCTAACATAACATATACACCATAATTATATGCATACTTATATTTTCATTTTTGAAACATTATTGTGGACAAAAGCAGAAAATCCACATTAGTGCTAAAATACACATACTACATGAAACCAAAGATATTCTAATTTCTTTAGATAAGTAAGTAAATACCAATTTCATCAACAACCCACCCTCATATATATGTCCAGAGAATAAAAACAGTTTCCAGAATTACTCATGTCTGGGTATTCCCATATATATCCATGGGATTCACATATTCATAAATTTCTACATTTCCAAAAACAAAATCGAAAAAAAAAGTTTACATTTACTGAAGCAGAACTGTTATATACCAATTTCACTAAAACATTGTTTCCTTTTTATTTTGAAAATCAACTCTAAGGCAATGTTTGAAACTCATTCTTGTTCAAGATACATTCATTGTGCCTTTGAGACACTGAAAGCTCTTTTGGAACTCACAATCATGTAAACAAACAATGAGAGTGCCTTGTGATTAGTGTATAATATGCAGAGGGACAAGGTAACTCTTCCTAGGGAATCAAAAAATTCAAAGTGGAAGGACTGCTTGAGCTGAATCTTACAAGACAAGCAAGAGTTTTCTTTGTATAGAGACAGGACAAAGGATTTCAGGCAGAAGGGAAAACTTGTGCAAAGATATGAGAGAGCATGACTTAATCAAGGACTGGTAGAAGGTGCAGTGTAGAGAGATTGTGAGGGAAAGTGGCTGGAAAAGAGGCTATCCTGGTTGGTTGGGTTGGGCTGCAAAGTCCTGTATGCCATTTGGACTCTATCCTCGGGACAAAGAGAAATCAGTATCACCGTTATCTGCAAAGTCATAGTTTTCTCCTGGCCACATTACAGGTATTTTCAAAAGTGATCGGAGATAAAAAGAAATCAGGTTCCTTAGAGAATAGTACGAGAATTTTAAGAGGAAAGGAAAACCATACCATGAGAAAGATCTAACTATGCTTGTGTCAAAAGAAAAATCTCTAAAATCACCAACTGGTCTCTAATACAGTGGCAGATATTATAGACTAGCTTACTGAATACCAATTCTATTTCCTTTCTGTAGGGTCCTGAGTGAGAAAGATGGAATCTCCATTGCATAAATACTCTTACAAATGGGGTTGCCATATTCTCTAAATTCAGCAAACAATACCCCTCTGGGAGACTCTAGACAGGGTAGAGATGGTGGTTCTGGGGTAAAAAGGCAGTGGTTGCTAATGGAATAGTCTTGTGTGGGGTGTGCATTTCTATGGCCCATGGAGTCCCAAGCTTGGTCCCAGCTTTCTCCAGTACTCTTTTGGCTTCTTGATACTTTTTAAGAACCTTCATTCTGCTACAGTGATTTCTATGACCAACAACAACAACAACAAAAAAACCCTGACCAAAACAACATCATGTAAAGCATACCTTGGATCCGGCCCTGGATCTGGCAAACTAAAACCAAAATTAAAATCTATTTGTGAAAAAAAAAAAAAAGTTTATCTAAAATAAACAAAGATGTCTTTTATTGCTTTATGTCCTCTAATTACTGTGGTTAGAACTTCCAGTACTATGTTGAATAAAAGAGGCAAGAGTGGACATCCTTGTCTTGTTCCTGACCTTAGGGGAAAAACTGTTTCACACCACTGAGTATGATATTAGCTGTGGGTTTTTCATATAAGGCCTGTATTATGTTGAGGTATGTTCCCTCTAGATCTACTTTGCAAAGAGTTTTTATCATAAATGGAGGCTGTACTTTGTCAAATGCTTTTTCTGCATCTATTGAAATGATCATATAGTTTTTATCCTTTCTCCCATTAATATGATGTATCATGATGATTGTTCTGCGAATACTAAACCACCCTTGCATCCCAGGAATAAATCCACTTGATCATGGGTGTATGATTTTTTTAACGTACTATTGGATCGGTTCACTAATATTTTGTTAAGGATTTCTGCATTTATATTCATGAGAAATATAGACCTATAGTTTTCTTTTTTGTGGTATCTTTGTCTGACTTTGGTATCAGGGTAAAATGTTGGCCTCATAGAATGAATTAAGAAGTTTCCCTTCTGGGCAGCCCAGGTGGCTCATTGGTTTAGCACTGCCTTCAGCCCAGGGTGTGATCCTGGAAACCCGGGACTGAGTCCCATGTCAGGCTCCCTGCATGGAGCCTGTTTCTCTGCCTGTGTCTGTGCCTCTCTGTGTCTCTCATGAATAAATAAATAAAATCTTAAAAAAAAAAAGTCTCCCTTCCTCTTCTATTTTTTGGAAGAGTTTGAGAAGAATGGGTATTAACTCTAGCAAAAATAAGTCAGAGAAAGACAAATGTCACATGATCTTATTCATATGCAGAATTTAAGAAACGAAACAAATGAGCCAAGTGAAGGGGAGAGACTGAGACCCAAACCAACAAACACAGTCTTAACTATAGAGGACAAACTAACAGTTACCAGAGGGGAGGTAGGTGGGGGGGATGGGTAAAATAGGTGATGGAGATAATAAATGTACTTATCATGATAATAAAATAAAATAAAATAAAATAAAAGTAAAATAAAATAAAAAACACAAGTTCCCTATTATATGGACATAACAACAATGACTACTATTCCTAAGGCACTGTGCCTGGTAGTGTACCTATATAAGTTTACTATGTATTATGAGCCTCACCACTTCCACAGCCCTACCTTATTTTCCAGGACATCAACAGTTTTTGCCTCTTAGCTTCTAGGCCAGTGGTCCTCAATCAGGGGTGATCTTGCCTCTGAGGGGACATCTGGCAATGTCTAAGATTTTTGGTTGCCACAATTGGGGGATGGGGGCAAGGGGCAGGTGTAGATGGGGAAAGGTAGTACTGGTATCCACTGTGTAGAGGCCAAGAATGCTATTGAACATTCTACACTGCACAGCACAGCCTCCCATAATAAAGAATTAACTGGCCCCAAATGTCAACAGTGCTGAGGATAAGAAACCCTGTTCCAGAAAGCACTGTGTCCTGGCCTGATGCCTTCTCCACACTTTCTAATGTGGAGTGTAACTCTTTCTAAAATATACATGAGATCATGACTCTTCTCACCTTAAAATGCTTCTGTGGCAACCTACTGCCCTTAAAATAAAGCCTTAAGATGACCCCATCTTCCATTCCAGGCATATCTCTCACTGTCAGCCATGTTGAACCTCTTGCATGTGGCTCAAAAGGGCCACCTCCAAACCCTAGCAAGCTGCCTCCTTACCTGGCCAACTTCTACTCATATTCCAAGTCATTTCTTCCAGGAAAACTCCCTTGGTTTTGGAAAACCAAAACCATAAGTCTTGGTTATATGCCCCTGCCATGTGCTACATACCACCCTCTACCTCCTTTATTATGATAAATGTATTATGAAAAAAAAAATGTATTATGATAGCACTGTTCCATGTATTGCCACTGTCAATTTACTTAATGCATTTCCCACTAGATAGGTAAGTACTACAAGGGCTGAGATTAGGTTTATTTTATTCATTGTTAATAGTGCCGCAAGTATTTTGCTCACTCAATAAATCTGTTAAATTCATTACTACAAAGCACTAGCATCACACAATAGGCACAAATGGAAGTATGGTCTGTGGGAAACACAAAAAGAGAGTTAGTACTGCCCAAATATATGTTAGAATAAATAGTTCAAGGAATCATATGTCACCTATGTCCGTCACAAAACCAAGAAAAGGATCACCAAAAGGTTAGAAAAGAAGGCACAGAAGATGAGGAGATCTAGGGTCACTCAGTACAAAGAAATAAAGGCTAAGGTAATGTACTAATAGCCTTAAATAATTAAACAAAAACAACATATTTTACAGAAAGGTATATTTACAGAGTCTGATAGTCTGGTATCCATATGAGAATTAAATAAGGAGAAAGGGGTTTAAATTAAAGTGTGAAGGATTTAATCCAACAGTTTCTTCGTTGTTGTTGTTGTTGTTGTTTTAATATTGGTAAGTACTAAAGTGTTGCTGATGAATGAAGTACCTTGTCATTCACATATTCATTTAGTGTCTTCTCTGCTCTAGGCACATCTGTTATAATACATTGTAGTAAATGGTATAGAGGCCTACACAGGTGTTAGGAGAACACAAAAGGAAGAAAGATTTATAGATAAGTTCAAGAAGCAGTGGTCAGAAAGGCTTGTAGGCACAACATTTGAGGTGAATCTGAAGGAGGAGTGTGGAGGTAAAATACCCTACAGGGAGGACAAGGTGAAGGCATGGATTGGCCTTCTGGTAGTGTGGACTACAAATCAGAGTACAAGTACAAACCAGCTTCCAAATGACTAATGGGTTAGTATCACTGCTTGTAACAGGTATGGTAACGGGGCAGACAAGCTGAAAAGAAAATGGGTATATTAATGAAGGTCTAAGGAGCTTAAAATACAATGAGAGAGAAAAAATAAATAAAAAATAAATAAATAAATAAATAAATAAATAAATAAATAAATAAATAAATAAATAAAATAAAATAAAATAAAATAAAATAAAATAAAATAAAATAAAATAAAATAAAATAAAATAAAAATACAATGAGAGGCCATGGGAAGCCATAAAAGATTTTAAGCAAAAGGAGTAAAAAATTAGACTCGCATGCTATAAAAATCCATCCAGCCCGTACTGGAGAGAGGAAGAATAGGTAAGAGATTTTAGTAATTCAAGTGAAAGATGAACAGCTTGAACAGGAAGTGTTACAAGAGGATAGAGAGGAGGAAGCAGGTAGGAAAGAGGTTTACAATCATTCAAAAAGAATTTGGAAGGACAGTTGGATTGAAGAAGGCAAAAGGAAGAGATTGTTTTTATTTTAAGACTTTATTTATTTGAGAGAGAGAGAGTGCTAACAGAGAGAGAGTATGAGCAGGGGGAGGGACAGAGGGGAGGCGGAACTTGATCCCAGGACTCTGGGATCATGAGGCAAAGGCAGATGCGTAACCAACTGAGCCACCCATGTGCCCAGGAAGAGATTGTTTTTAATAGTGAAAGTTTCTAATTTGGATAACTGAGTAAATGATGATGACGCTGGGTGAGATATGGAATGCCAGGAAAAAATAGGTTTCATGAAAAAAATTCTGAATTATTTTGGACATGCTGAGTTTAATGTGCCCATATAAACAGGTGGGCAACTGAAAATATGGGTCTGCAGCTTAGGAGAGACATATGGGCTAGAGAAACAGATCTGAGAGACTAGTACTTCATACAGAACGTTACAGTCTAGGGGAAAAAAATCCATAGAAAAAAGAGGGATGGCAACAGAACTCCCAGGGAGCCTTCTGAGAGCCTTCTGTCTTGGTGGGAGAGGGACTATCCACAGCCACAGAGCCAGAGGAGAGCAGTTTTTAAATTTATTTTTTAAATTTTATTTATTTATTTATTTACTTACTTACTTACTTACTTATTTACTTATTTATTTTCAGCCATAGAAACATCTTTATTGAAGAGAATGGGGGTCATGCTGAGTTCGGGGACATGCAATGGAAGGGGCAGTTGTGAGCTGTCATTGGTGGTCAGGGCCGCAGGTCCACCCTAGACTCCCTGGGCCTTCGGGTTCTCCCTCAGGCTGTTGGTCTGGCCAAGGTCCTGAGAGGTCCTTTGGGGCCAGTGACTCAGATTTAGTGTTTTGGACCTGTGACCAGAACGTAGATTGAAATAGGGTTCAAAAAAAAAAAAAAAAAGAAAGAAAGAAAAGAAAAGAAAAGAAAAGAAATAGGGTTCCAGGATTTGGGATCCCCTCAAGGCAGGGGTGGGGAGCCTTCATGTATTAGAGATGGAGGCTTTAGGATTTGGGGTTCCTTGGGGGCTGGGGCTCTTTGCATTTTGGTGTCTTGAGATCCACCGACAAGAAGGAAAAAAGGCAATGCTTAGAGTCATTCAGAAGGGGTAGGGGGCTCCTTAGAAAAAGATGTCCAGAAAGCCATCAATAAAAGCAACGAAAGATAGCATCGCTGGACCCAAAGGAGTAGACCGTTTTGTACAAACAAGAGCCAGAAACAGTGTCAAATTCAAAAGATGACAGGACAGGGTCTACTGCATCTGGTAATAGGGCCACTAATGACCTTGGTGGGAGAAGGGTAAGAGTGGATGGGGGGGCCCAAGCTATGGGGCAGAGACTACAATAAGCCATAGAAGGACTGAGAGGCAAGGATAGAAAGTCATGGAGAGAAGCAAGTATTTGCTTAAGAAGATGGCTGTGAAGAGAAAAAGGAAGGGCAAACGATACTTCACTCTACTTCGGTGTGTATTAGAGTTTGTTATTTTCTTGAGGGACTTGGGTATGATTCCTGGCTATACCACACCTCTGTGACCTTGGATAAGTCACAGTACACCAGCCAGTCAATTTTCTTAGATGCAGAATAGGGCTAGTAATCTACTTCACACCAATGTGTAAGGATTAAATGAAATAATGCATGTAAAACTTTCAGGACCAGTTTTTGATACATAAGAAGTACTCAAACAATTTATAATTTTCATCATATACAAATATAGAGGAGAATGAACCATCAGATAGAAATTAGAAAAAGATGGTTCCTACAGGATCTACATCTATAAATATTACAGGGAAGATTGGTTCTGGACAAGAGGAGGATGCTTCATCTGAAAGTCTTTAAAAATTAAGGACACACTAAATCACAAGGGTGACTTTACACAGGAAACTGAGTCTTAGAGCATCTCCTTCAACAAATTGTGTGTGGTTGCTATAACCAAGCCTCCTCAGGGCTTTCCTCACCCCTTAGTGACTTTGCACTCCATACATGCTATCCAGCAGAGCCCAGATCCTATATATCTGAGTCGGTCCTCCTGATCCCCAAGAGAGACTGATTTATATACAATTTCAACCAATGATTTGAGCTGAATTTCTTAGGATTCTCTCAAAATTTCAAAGAATTGTCCTACACAAATATTTTTAGGAATTTTGGCTGTTAGACCCGAAACAAGCTATTATTAACCTCACTCCAACCCTGAAACTTGGTCCCCTGATAAAGGAAGGTGGCCTCATGGTGTCAACTGCTATCAGAGCAATGGTCCCACTTCATTGCTCCTTTTCTCCCCCAATCTCTGCCCCCAAAGCCAAGATTCCCTTTTGGATACTATATTTTAAAGCAACCCATATTGTTCAATAATGATTTCAAGGCAAGGCCTTGTTTTTCTTATTATTATCATGGAGTAATCTTTAGTATATGAATTGAATCATATTTTTCTAATACCAAACCTTTTTCTTTTAATATGATTCCCAAAACCACTTCAGTGTATGTGTATGTTTAGTATATAATGTATATATAGTATGTACAATATATTTTTTCAATATATATTTATATGTATTTTATTTGTTTTTTTTTTTTTTTACTGAATGTTTAAATAACCTCACACCACCGACTAGTAGCAAGAACAAGTTTTATGAAAAAGAAAACACTCAGGAAGCTTCCTTTTTTAAATCTATTTTTAAAAACCAAACTCGTTGTATTCCAAGCAATAACCAAATTGATGATGTAGGCTTCTTCTATCAGAGACTTTTCCAAATAAGTTTATACTCTCAAACCACTTAATCATATAATGACCATTCAACACTCCCAAAGCTGCTCTTTCAGAATATCTTATGTCTCTCAGCCTGAGAATCAATGATCACATGTAAGCCAAAATAATGCACTTTACCTGGTGCAGAACCTGCATGAGATGGGTCCCCATACTGTCCATAATGTGGTGAAGAAAGGCCTATTCCGGGCTGGGACTGAGAATAGGCGGGTGTAGCCACATACCCTTGTTGACTCATTATGAAAATATCATTCCAAGGGAAAGCTCTACAGAATGATTCTACAACAGAAAAAAAGAAAATGTCAACAAGAGAGCTTGAGTGACTTAATGCTATTAAAAATACGAACACTGCTAATAAATATTTATAATGGTTTGAGGAAAATATCAGGTGTGAGATGTCTTCATATCATATAATATATCATAATATCCTCTAAAAAAGCTCTAAGCATAGGTCTATGGAACTCAGTAACTCATTTCTATAGGCAAATTCTCAGGCACAAAATCTGAATTACTGCCAATCGCTTTTTCATTGGAAGAATGAACTATTTCCCAGATAGTCTTTCATAAATGTATCCACTATTTTTGTGCCTTTGGTTTTCATGGCTCTATTTCAGCACAAAGCATGCCACTGGCAATAATCACAAGTCACTCAATTGACTGACCAGTAGAACTGTCAGTGGTCTGCAATCAGATGTTTCATGACTTGTGTCATTTCAGTGATATCTTCATTAGTAATTTTAGCCAGGCAGCTAGGATAAAGAGAAATCAATAGCCTAACAAATACAGCAGAAGATAAAGAAGTTGGTAATGGACTTATTTTATGAGTCATAAAATGACTAAGCCAGGTTGCAGCCTACAAACATTTGAGTTATCAGTGGTTTCTCATTCAAAGATGACAGACTCTCTTTCTAATTTAAATATCACACCTCTAAGAACATATACACATATACTTAAGAACTAAGGGAAAAAAGCAATTTCATATATGTTCAGGCATGCACACACATCTGACAATACAACATACCCATCCGGATTCTATTCAGAAGTTAAACATCAATTTGTTTTAAATTTAGCATTTTTTTCCAGGTTTCATGAAATAAAACATATTTCATGAAACTATTCTCAAAGAATTTTTATAATAATAATAATAATAATAAAATGCTCTGAATCCTGGTAAAGGAAGTCGGTTCTCACCACAAATCTACCAATACTTGGCTGTGTGACGTGGAATAAGGTGAAGAACCTCTCTGGGCCTCAGTTCCCTCTTACAAAATGAAGCTTCTGAAGGCTTTAGGGACATAAAACACCGATACCACAATTTCTTTCCAGTTGCTTCATCTGGCAGGAATATTTTTTCCTTTTGTTATTTTGTGATGCTACCTTTTAAGGTAAAACGTTCAGTGATACCTGCTAAGACTTGAAATAGATCTAGACTCAGGAAACCTCATTCCTCTCTTGGTTTCATTTTCCTATTAAACTCTAACTTTCCAAAATCAAAGCAACCAGATGAAAATGTGATTAAGACCATTTTTCTCCTCCTCAGAAGGAAAGAACTAAAGAGAGGAGAGAGAGAGGCAAAAGGCTGCTGGTCCACTTTGTTCCTGACAACACTCTTACCCTCCTCCCACGTTAGCAGAGAGAGAGAGACGTGGCAGCCTGAGCTTTGGTCAAGCTCCTCCAACCAAGCACATTTAGGAAGTCGGCAGGAGCACACACCTACGTAGCAGCCTGTTGCTGAGTGACGGAAAGAGAAGGCAGGGATGTCCGCTCCGAACGGCAGGAAGCGAGCAGCCGCGTCCCTCCTAACTGGTCCTGACAGGAATTTGCCTCCTCACGCAACCTAGTGTGCCACGTCAAACTTCCTCACACAGCCCCAAGTTACAGAAACCTGACTCAGCTTCAAGCAGCGACGACACGGCACCGAGCCACTTGGCAAGAGCAGGCCTACGATCAAAATCTGGGGAGCTTCAATCGCAGACCAAGCCCCCGGCCGTCCTCCCGCCCCGCGCCGTCCCTGGCCAACGACGCCCAAGACGTGCTTCTCACCCCCCTGGGCCAACTTCGGGTTTGGACAAACTGGTTTCGCCACCAGGATGTCCCGAGGCTTGAAGATACAGTTGCCATTTCTGACCATGAGTACTTCCAATACCACCATCCTTCCAAAGAGGAAATTAAGTTGATACAGACGCCAGAAGACCGCTGCCCGTGCCACCGAATACCGTGGCTCCCGAGGACGCTAACCGCGCGGTTGCCAGCATCCCCAGACAAAAAGATGGGGGCGGGGGCGGGTACAAAATGCCCACGCCCACCCACCCCACCCCCAATATCAAACTGTGCGAAAGGCTAAAGGGACAAAGTGGGAGGTCTCCCCCGCTGCCGGCCACAGGTGAGCATCCAGCCCGCCGCCAACCCCCACCCTAGGCCGGGCACCGCACCCCACTCCAGCTGTGCCTGCGGCGGGGCCGTCCCGCCGGCGCGGAGCAAGGCAGGGCGAGGCACTACCTGGTCTGTTCCCGCACGCCGCCGGGCTCCCGAGAGCCTGCGCTCTGCTCCTGGCGCCGGGCACCCCCGGAGACCCAGCTCCCGCTGCGGCCGCTGCTCCCGCGGCGCCTTCCCCCCCCACAGCGGCTCGGTGCGTGTCCCCGCAGGCTGGTCTCGCGCACAGAGTTGCAGCCGGGCTGGGAACTGCCACGTCAAACACTCTCCCGGCTGCGCGCCCCCAGCGCCGGGGTTCGGACCAGCTGCCGCGCTCCCGCCGGCGCACGCGCACAGACCGGACGGGGCGGGGCCGGGGGCGGGGCCGGGGGCGAGTCCGGGGGCGGGGCCGGGGCCGGGGGGCGGGGCCGGGGCTGGAGCGCGGCCGGCGTATTGACCGTCCGTACTCCCTGTACTCCCTTTTTTTTTTCCCCCTCTTTTTGCCTCATCCTCTGTTTTGTTTGTTTGTTTTCCCACAACATGTCAAAATGTTAACGCTGTTGCTAAGTCAGAGCCACGTTTTCGCTGCGGACCCCTGTAGGAAGGCGGGAGTGCGTAATGAGGGCTCATTCGTTCTTTCATTCAACAGGTTGCCGCTTAAGCTGTGCATCCAACCAGTTGTGAATATTACTCGAATATTCCTCGAAGAACTGTGATATTACTGGTATTGTTTGCGGATACGAGAAGGTATATACGAAGAGATTAGAATTTAAAGGCGAATCTGGCACGTGTACAAGGACAATCCGATGACGTATTCGTGCAATGCAATACGGAGGAAGGGAAACCCAAGGCGGCCTGGCCGCGAGAAAACTAGGGAGGAAAGGGGTTGAAAAGTATGGGAAGAGGGGTCTCCATTGAAGCTGAAATTGCTGGATTTCTGTGTGTTCCCTCTAGAATGCCTACAGACTCATGATGAAGGAGGGTGACTGAACCCACGCCAAACATGGACTGATACACGTGAAAGCACCCCGTGTTTAGCTCACTGTATTGTGAGAAACAGCTGAGAAAGGCAACATACGTGACACCTGGCCCTTGGCTTCTTCTCTATCGAGCCTTTCAAACTAGGACCATGTCACAATGTCCCACTCCTAGATGGAGAAGCCTTCAGCCAACCCTAGGTTTGATAGAGCTACCACTTTGCCCAAACTTACCCAAGGAAACCAGATCAGCGTTTTGTTTTCAACATATACTTTCCACTCTCTGTGTGTCTCTCATGAACAAATAAACAAATCTTTAAAAATATATATATATATATACATATATATACATATATATATACTTTCTCCTAGGCTACAAGAAGATAAAAAATACTTGACAAATCCCTTAATTGATGAAATCCCTGGGCAAAAATTTGTATAGGTATGATGCTACTGCTGAAATGCTCCATGAGTTTTTCAGGCATTTTCAGTGATTCCAGCATGGTAAAAACTAATGGTCCCTTCCGCCTTCTTTCTCTCTGTTTTTTTTTTTGTTTGTTTGTTTGTTTGTTTGGTTTTTTTTTTTTTTTTACGATTTTAAGGTGTGATGCACTGCCTACATCCAGCTTCAACACTGGTCAGATTTGAGAATCCACAATGAAAAGTTTGTTTTAAATTTGTTTCTTGTATTCTCAATACAATGGGAATATTTGATGGAGTTTAGGAAGCTTTGGTCTGTGTGTTGAAGAAGCACAGCTTGTAAGAGCAATAAAAAAAAAGTTGTCATATCACGGTTATGTAGGAGAGAATAGTCACTTGGAGACAGGAACACTATGTAATCAGCTGATTGGCTTGTTGCCTCTAGAAAACCACTAAATTTCAGTTTGTAAATCCTTTCTCACTTCTTGTTCTGGGGCACCAGGACAAACAATGTGTGTTTCAGTTCTAAGACAGTGTTGAATTCCTAAATATTTAAAGTTGAAAGGGATTAGAGATATAGATAACTCAATATTCAGTGAAGACTGAAATCAACCAAATCATCTTATAGACTAAAAAGCCAAATTTCAGAAAATTAAAATAACTTACTAGTCTTTTAGTTGGCAGTCATGCCTTCTGATTTTAATTTCAAAGCAATTTTTACCCCATTTTTCTTCCTTTTAATATTACTCTGATTTGCTCTATTAAATGGTTTTGACTTTCTTTCCTATATCTACCTTATATTTAAGCTTTCAAATAAATACAATATTAGTAGACCATACAGCTCCACCAGTACTTGGAGTTAGAAATCACATATTTCTTTTTCTTATGAAATAGACTTCTAGTTTCAATCCTGCTTCCGTCCTTGTGACCTTATGTAACCACCCCTTCAGTGACTAATTTCTGACCTTATTATTGTGGTAGGGGGTTGCTGAACTTCACCAAACAGGAAGGTTAGCCTGGATTCCCAGCCTTCCTTGGTCCAACTACCCCAATGCCACTTGATGTCAGGGTCTCATCTTCCATGTATAATCTACGTGGTCACCCTGGTAACCATATCCTAATTGAAAGGTGAGATCACAGGGAATGTCCATGTGCTGGGGTTCTGTGTTCTTCAGGGTCTTTCTGTTCTACCTTTATTTATTTATTTTATTTCTTAAGTAATCTCTATGCCCAGTGTGGAGCTTGAACTCACAACCCTGAGATCAAGAGTCACATGCTCCACTGACTGAGCCAGCCAAGCACTCCTCTTTTCTAACTTTGAAAGGAAAAGAAAGAAGAGACTCAACTACATAAGACTATACAGAAAGATAATGAATTTCCAGACAATACTTTGGGCTCTTTCTGTTATATACACTTTGGAAGAAAAGAACTATGATGCTCTAAGCATTTATTTTAAATTTTTTTTAGGATTTATTTATTTACTTACTTATTTCCTTATTTATTTATGAGAGAAAGCAGGGGGAGGGACAAAGGGAGAGGAAGAGAGAGAATCTCAAGCAGAATCCTTGCTGAGCATGGAGCTGGACTCTGGGCTCAATCCCACAACCCTGAGCAGAAACCAACAGTCAGACACTTAACCTACTGAGCCACCCAAGTGCCCATCTAAGCATTTATGTAACTTAAGTTTGGGGTCTCTGGTTTAAAAGCTATGGTTTGAAGAGGGTTTACAGGGGCAGCCCCAGTGGCGCCGTGGTGGCGCCGCCTGCAGCCCGGCGCGTGATCCTGGAGACCCGGGATCCGAGTCCCAGGTCGGGCTCCCTGCAAGGAGCCTGCTTCTCCCTCTGCCTGTGTCTCTGCCTCTCTCTCTGTCTCTCTCTCTGTGTTGCTCATGAATAAATAAATAAAATCTTAGAAATAAATAAATAAAACATTTAAAAAAAAACTGAAACAGGAAAAAAATGAAGAGGGTTTACATTTTAAAAAACTGAAATAGCCAAGACTTGGACTATGTTAAATATCCAAAAGCACAGTCAATAAGGCCAAGTTAAATGGTAGTGGGGAAAAGGGTACTTGGTAGGCTAAGTTCAGTAGCAATCAATAACAGTAACAATACAATTCAACAAGTATTCAACAAGGCCCTACACCAAAGTGCTTCTGGAATTACCTTTTTCTCTTTTTTTTTTAATAACAGCTTTATTGAGATATAATTAACAATTCTTCCATCGAAAGTATATGGTTCAATGGTTTTTAGTATGTTACAGAGTTGTATAGCCATCACCACAACCAATATTAGAATGTTTTCATTCCTCCCCAATAAAACTTGCCCATTAGTAGTCACTCCCCTTTTCCCCTACTCTCCCATTCCACAGCCCTAGGCAACTCCTGGTCTACTTTTTATCTTGTATAGATTTCCTATTCTAGACACTTTATATGAATGGAATCATACAATATGTAGTCCCTTGTGATTATCCTTTCACTTAGCATAATGTTTTCAAAGTCCACACATGATGTAGTACCTATCAGTACTTCTTATTACCAAATAATATTCCATTGTATGGATATAGCACATTTCATTATCCATTCATCAACTGATGCATAGTTAGGTTGCTTCCCCTTTTTAGCTGTTATGAATAATGTTGCTATGAACATTCATATACAAATTTTTGTTTAGATATATGTCTTTATTTTTCTTAGGAACTTCACATAAACAATGTAGTTTCAAAAAAATACGGTCTAACTTCAAAGACTGTACTCTTAGCAATTAGTCAATGTTTCCTCTCTTATGAAATTTAATTTTTAAATAAAATAGGCAATGTCACTCTCCCCCCAAAAGACAATAACAAAATAATTAAAATTGAAATTTTCAGTGAGAATGTAACTTATTAGAGCTGATTCTAGAAGAAATTTTTAAAAGTTAAATACAGAGTTACCAAATGACTCAGTAATTTTGCTCCTAGCTAGAATTACTTTTTTAAATATCTTGAATATTTTGCTCTGAATGTACTTAGATCACTTATGGTTTTGGCCACACATTGGGCAGTGTGACATCCTACTACCAGGTCAGTTTGATTCAGGTTTGAATTTTGACCTATCACTCACTATTAGCTATGTGAGTTTTATTTATTCAGCAAGTATTTATTAAGCACTCACTATAAGCTGGGTGCTGTACTAAGCAATGTGGATATAAAGTTGAATGACACACTTCTCTGGCTCTTAAAATTTCATGAAATAGTACAGGGATTGGCAAACTGCAAAATCTGGCCCACCTGCCTATTTTTGTACAGCCTGCAAGCTGAGAATAGTTTTTATATTTTTAGACAGTTGAAAAATCAAAAGAAGAATAATATTTCATGATGCATACAAAACATATGAAATTCAAATTTCAATGTCCATAAATAGTTTTATTGGAACACAGCCATGCTTTTTCATTATCGTACTTCCTGTGATAGCTTTTGCACTACAGTAGCAGAGTTGAGTAGTCGTGACATTGGCCACAAGCCTCACAAAAAACTAAAATATGTACTACCTATCCCTTTACAGAAAAAGCTTGCCAACACTTGGTCTGGTGGGACCTACAAGTATAGTACAGTGGATTAGCATTCAGTGAAAAGACCAAGTTTCCATGGGAAAATGTAAGAAGAGACATTTGACCCAGACTTGGAAAGTGAGAGAGATACCTCTGGTGGGGGTGGCATCTGAACTGAGCCCCTGTGGACAAAAATGAGCTAGGCAAAAAAAAAAAAAAAAAAAAAAGGAGTGAGGGTAGCAAGAATAGCAGGAATGGAAGAGGGAAGACAAGGACTCTAGGGCATTCAGAGGTACAGTGGTCCAGTATACCTCGAAGATGGGATTCTAGAGGAGTGAGGACAGGAATGAAATCAAGCAAGCAGGCTAAGCAAGCCCTGGGGTCTCTCAAAGGCAATG